GCTTGTTTGAACTTAATTAGCATGATTGATTAGATTCTTAATTTGATTTGCAACTATGATGATGATGATGATGATTGGCTTTGTTTTGTTTCTTCAATTAATGATGATTAGTGAGTAGATTTATAAGCTAGGGTGTTGGGGAAGCATTTTTGATTGGTAGCTTGTTGTTGATTTGGGGATTTTGATCAATAGATTGTTGTAATTAAATTGATTGATGAATTTCTGCAGGCCTTTAGCATAATAGTATTAATCAACTTAGAATTCTAAACTTGATTGCATTGATGATCTTAATGACATGACCACTTGATTTAAGATTGTTAATTTTCAACTTGTTAGATTTGTTATTCTACTAATTGTCATCCATAGAGGAAACCTAGCTTGACAACCAGTCTAGATAGTCTTTGAACTCTTTGAATGCAATTATCATTAGTCCTTGCAACACTTATTGCTTCAATTTTCCCCCAATTTGACACTTCTATCATGATTACATGTGGAACCTAATCCCTAGCATCTTTGTGATTGATTTTCCTATATTACTTGCTTAGTTTGATTAGCTTACTTGACTACACACTCTAACACTCTTTTCGAGGTAGCTTAACGCATCGACTATAGTAATTATGTTGGGTTTCGTAGTTTCCAACACTACGCGTAATGAAACCCTCCCAAAATCCGCACACAAATTTAAGTAGCTTAAAATGCATATTAATTAACAAACACATAATTAAACAAAGAGAGAAAGAAAGACGATCATACCCTTAATGCGTGCTTCGCTCCTTTTAGAGCTCGAACTTGAAAGCGTAAAGCTCCACAAATGCGCAAGCCTCCAACGGCTCTCACCCTCGAGACCCTACCCGAACAATCCCTACCTCGAAGCTTAGTCGGGGCTAGACCAAAAGAACTTAAAGTATTTAAACAAAGGTTTTCTCTTCTTGGAGATCGCTTAAAGTTCACAAATCAAGTGCCCCTTCCCAATGCCAAATAATTGGTATTTATAGGGAAAGGTGCCCTTCTAATCTCCCATCAATGTGGGAGAGTTGGTTAAATGAGAAAAAGAATGATTTAATTTAATTCTAAATTAAATTAAATATCCATGCAATCAGTACTAGACAAGTGGCACAAGAACAAGGAGGGTAGGTGGGAGGACCACCAAGCCTTGGAAACCAAGGTTGGCTGTCTGCCGACCACGCGCTAGTTGGCAGCAACTCCCTTGGCCAACAAGGCGTGCTGTGCTAGTAGCCTTGTACTCCAAGGCGTGTTGTCCTTGGGCTTCGTTGCAAAGGCCTGCCTGGCTGCCAGCCTTGCTGTGCGGCATAGCCAGCCCACGCACAGGCCAACTTGCGCGTTGGGCCTCATGCTGGGCGGCCTTGTTGCTCGCATTGCCTAGCATGCTAGCTAGGCCTTGCTACCCCACAAGCGACCTGATGTAAGCCCTTGCTAGCCCTACCATGCTATCGCTGCGTGCTGGTGCTAACTTGCGTGCGACCAGGAGCACCAGCACCGCAAGCATGCTCGGCCAGTAAGCCTAGCACGCGCATGCATGCTTGCCTTGCAGCATAGCCATGCATTGCGGTTGGTGCCCTATGCTAGCCTAGCCTTCACATGGCTAGGCCAATACAAGGATACGACTTAGCTTTAACTTGTCGTTAACATGATTTCTCGTCTCGTCGAATCCTAAATTCAACTCGACTTACGGCGCTTGGTTTCGAAGTTCTAAGCTCGATATCCGACGTCATTGTTCGTAATACTCTAATGACTCATTTAATCCTTCAGATTAATTCGTCGTTTCGGTTAGGTTACTCGATTGGGTGTGACCCGAAGGGTTTAGTCAAGATTAAGCTGTAATATTAATTATACATTAATAATACTAATCGGAAGCGGCCTCCAGCTAGGCATTCCGATCACTTGACCTCAGTGAATAATTATCTTTCTAAAATCTCCGAACCCTCTATCGGAATAATACACTTGTTCGACACCATTCCTTTCAATCTCCCACTTGTCCTTCTAGACAAGTGCGCTATTAGTGTATAGCCTATTTCCTATGTCATTTAATGTCTTTTCATGAACTATAAGGTAAGATTCATCATCATCCTTATTATGTCCAGGAGTGTTTCTCGATTTCCGAGTTCGACTGTCAATAAACAAATGATTTCTAAAATCTATCTGAGCACGGCCTTGCACTTTCACAGTCTCGCTCTTCGAGAGGCCTTGTAAACAACAAAGACATGTTCCCTATTGTAAATGGAGGGACCTAGCCACCCGAGTGTTGCTGTTATAATCCCCATTTACGGCAGACGTTTGACAACATCAAAACGGACTAGTACTCAAATAAGAGAACTTACAATACTCATGGTCGAGGAAAGACGTATCAATAGATATGATGAGCGATATACTTATGACGATTGTCAAATCTCTTAAAGTATTCTCATTGGTTGATCCGATATAGTTCCAAACTAATACATGTGCAAATGATTATGACAATCATGTCGTGGTAGCACAAGAAACGGTGCTATAAATCATACTACACACTAATCTCACGCGGTCATTAGTCGCCTAACTTTCTAATTAATGACCTCGATTAGAAATGATTTCGATATGACATTTAATGTTCACTTAATAGGTGTTTCTTTATCTAAGACATGGCCTTGATACCCTATTTTGAATGTTCTAATCAAATGGACTCATTATTTAATTCTAAACCACAATTAAATAGAAATGGATCGGAATAATAATGTACAGAAAAATAAAATTACTCCATAAATGAATAGTTTTAACATGGTGTTTTAAATTAAGATCTCCACAACTTAATTAAAACACACAAATAGGGAATTTAAAGCCAATCTCCAACGTGCTTGATTCCCATTGCCTGAACGTGCTTGTTGTGTTTCACTTGAGGCAACGGTTTAGTGAGTGGATCAGCTACATTGTCATTCGTTCCAATCTTGCAAATTATGATTTCATCCTCGAACTTCCATTCCCTTATCATATGAAATCGCCTCATGACATGTTTGACTTTCTGATGCTCCCTTGGCTCCCTAGCCTGAGCAATAGCCCCACTATTATCAAAGTAGAGGTCTATTGGTCTCTTTATTGAGGGGACGACACCAAGTTCACCAACGAACTTACAAATCCAAACTGCCTCCTTAGCTGCTTCCGAAGCTGCCAAGTATTCGGCTTTAGTTGTAAAGTCTGTAGTCGTGTTTTGTTTAGCACTCTTCCAAAAATGCTCCTTCATTAAGACAGAACACGTATCCTGATTGTGACTTGAAGTTGTCTCTGTCAGTGGGGAAATTTGCGTCGATATAACCTTCAACAACCAAATCATTAATCCCACCATAGACCAGAAATTTATCCTTGTTCCTTTTCAGGTACTTTAGGATATTCTTGGCCGCGGTCCAATGCGCCTCTCCTGGGTCTGATTAGTATCGGCTCGTAGCACTCAAGACATATGATACATCTGGCCTAGTACATATCATGGCATACATGATTGATCCAATAGCGAAGCATATGGAATAAGACTCGTCCTCTCTCGCTCATCAGGTGTCTTCGAACACTGTTTCTTGCTGAGAGTTATGCCATGTGACCTGGGTAAGTGGCCTCTCTTGGCTTCCTCCATGTTGAATCGTGCCAGTACCTTATCAATATAAGTACTTTAGCTCAATCCAATCATCCTTTAATTTTAGATCTATCCCGATAGATCTTGATGCCTAATATGTATTGTGCCTCTCCCAAGTCCTTCATTGAAAAACACTTTCCAAGCCAAGTCTTTACAGACTCCAACATTGGAATGTTGTTTCCAATGAGCAATATGTCATCGACATATAAGACAAGGAATGCGATGTCACTCCCACTGACCTTCTTGTAAACACAAGACTCATCTAGATTCTTGATAAAACTAAACTTACTAATGGCTTCATCGAATCACAAATTCCAACTTCTGCTTGCCTGCTTTACTCCATAAATGGATTTCTTAAGCTTACAAACCTTCCCAGCATTGTTTGGATCAACAAAACCTTCCGGCTGTGTCATGTACACAGTTTCTTCCAAAATCCCATTAAAGAAGGCGGTTTTGATGTCAATTTGCCATATCTCATAATCATAATCTGCGGCAATTGCTAGGATAATCCGGACGGACTTAAGCATGGCGACTGGCGAAAAGGTTTCATCATATTCAACGCCGTGAATTGGCCTGTAACCTTTTGCCACCAATCTAGCTTTGTATACATATACATTTCCATCTTTGTCGGTTTTCAACTTGAAAATCCATTTGCAACCGATAGGTGTGTAACCTTTGGGCAAATCAACCAATTTCCAGACTTGATTTTCAAACATGGAATCCATCTCGGATATCATGGCTTCTTGCCATTTTGCAGAGTCGGGGCTCGTCATAGCTTGTTTGTATGTCGCTGGCTCATCTACATCCACAACTAGGATGTCTTGATCTTTGGTTACGACACCGAGGTATCTGCTGGTTGAGATCTTGGCCTTTACGACCTACCACTAGGCGAAAATACGTAATCCGTACCGGCTCAAAACCCCCATTTAGCACTAGTTTTGAACCGGTCCTGATTAGGGGGGTGCTAAAACCCCAAACATCTCGCACCGATTCAAAACCGGTGTGAAATCAGGCTTTTCGCACCGGTTCTGGGTGAGAAACGGTGCGAAAAGTGGCTAAAAAAAATTAATAAAAAACTTTTAGCACCGGTTCTTTTCCAAAACCGGTGCCAAAAATGCTCAAAAAATTTTTTTTTTTTTTGTTTGCATTTTTTTCACTTAAATTGTATCAAATACTTATATATAATCATAATATACATAAAACACATATATTTTCTTCAATAACTTGTAATATAACACTTTAAAAAACTAAAAAAAAAAAAAAAAAAAGGTTCCGATAGCTATATGCTGGTGCATTTTGCTCCTTGTTGTTGGTGCTGCCTACTGTTGAGTGTTACAGCCTACTAGTCTGCATGATGCATATTAAAGATATTAAATAATGCACGGCATTACAAAAACAAGTATATCATTATCCAAATATCTTTGTAGGTAGGGGCCAAGAGCTTGCAGACTGTTTTAGTGCTGCCTACTGTTGAGTGTTACAGCCTACTAGTCTGCATGATGCATATTAAAGATATTAAATAATGCACGGCATTACAAAAACAAGTAATCTTAATGACCTAGCTAAGGCATCTTTAATTCATGAAGAAAAAGTGGGATCTCAGCTCACTGTTTTAGTCCCAGCTACCTTTACTTCGACGAAGGGACTTCTTTTTGGACAAGACTTTTTTGTTCTGCAATTGTTTCTGCTCTGACTTGGCAGACCTTCAGCCATAGACAAGCAAACTTGATGTCAATGCATATGATAAAGAGACATCGTGGAAGTTATAAAAGCGAACAAAGATCGCAAGTTGGAGAGTATATAGATGGTTGAGAGTTCAAAACGAGGATATGAAAGGAATCATACAATTGAGCTATTTTCTTCTTTTGTGCTTCTGTAGGTGCTGGTGGGACATACGCAGCAGCATCAATAATTGCCTGGGTTCAGTAAGTTAAAACAAGCATATAAGATAAGATTAAGTACACACAAATATCTTCTGAGCAAATCGGAAAGTGAGTGATGAGCTACTAGGCAGAATTTGACAGATGAAATATCTTTGTGAAAATGAAGCTAAAGCACGATGGGCAACACAACTTCACCATTAAATCCAATTGGTGGCCACCAATAAATGAACAATTGTGTGTATGAAGGAAGAAAATTACTTCAGCTGAATTATTTGTAGCTTTCTAAACCCAACTAGGAAATATGAGTACTTCACAATGAATCCTTAAACAAGAACATAGAATAACAACAGAAAAGGAAAAACATAAGATAGATTGAGGACAACAAGAACATAAATTATTATGTAAAGGCATGAAGTTTCGTTAATACATTATAAAGGATAGAGATTGAGGACAGATTATAAGATAAATTATAAAGTCTATGCTAAGTAACAATGTAGCAAGCTAGCAACAATCACGTTGTATGAGCATAATGTGGACCCTTGTCTACCCAATATGAGCTCCCATGTACGCTAAATCGGTATTCAGAATTGGGCTTAAAAAAAGTTTTTCTTAATAAAAAAAAATTGGGTTGACAGCTTTGGAAAAAAAAAAAAAAACACAGTATGGGATCATAATATACATAAGTAGATTGTGTTATCAATTCTTTAAAAACAAGATTTCATTTCCAATGCCCTACAAGGAGAACTACGGGGTAGTTTATAAGCCAAAGGTCCAAAACCATTGTGCAGAAAATCCTCAAAGATAAACCAACCTAATGAATTTCCCGAAATATAGCAACACCACATTGATGCTTCGGAACCACCAAAGCCGACATTCAGAACAGAAAATCAGTACATACAATTAAGTACATGTAATTAATTGTTACAGCTTCGATAGAGCTATACAAGAGATACATCACGTACATTTTAACTAGAAAAACAATCAACAGTTTAACACCTATCCTCATTTACAAATAACTGCATTGGTCTCCACTTATGATTTTACCAAAAACCATTTGAATAACCCTAAGTTCAGATTTCCAAACAAAAATTCATGCTAAACTAATCCATCACAAACAAAAAAGTACCAATTAAAGAATCCCAGTTCATATTTCAATACAAAAATTCATGCTAATCTAACGGGGAAACACCCAAAACACAATTGGAATTTGGAATACAATTTTAGTTTCCAAGTTCTGCACATAGAGTGTTTCATTTGGATAGTGAGTTGTTTTTATACTAATAAGTCAAAAAAATTAAGCCAAAAAAATGACCTAAATTCAAATTCCTTACCCGATTAGCAAAAAAGATTCTTGTTCTTCTTGTTTGTGAACAAAGCTAACTAAAATTCCTCCTGCAAACATACATTTATTATACTATGGTAAGGAAAAGCCATACATAGTCCATAAATATTTCATATGCACAGGATATACAGAAATTAAGGATACAATCGAGAAGCTACAGTACAAGAATCAAAACCCAACTCCAATTATGCAAGATCAGACAAGTCAAACACTGGGACACATTCATTACCAATAATCTAGGTTCGTTCAGTTTCTGGTTGAAATTAAGGATCCAATATCTTTCAGTTACATCATGGAATAGAGCGATAATGTCATGCATCTCATCATCATATTAAAAATAACCTTGGTCTTCAGACCCTTGGAAACTAAAGAAACATAATGTTTGGTTTCTTCCAATCAAACAAAACAATGAGAATTGAGGCAAACAGTATCTAGAACAAGAACAAAGCGAATTGTTGTTTTCTATATCGACTTTAAACACAATAACAGCCGTTAGCAGATATATGAAAGGCTGTAGCCTTTAGGAGTGAAATTCTATACTTAAATATTCATAAAAATATACATTTAAGAAAAAGAAGAAAAAGAAAGAAAAGAAAACGAAGAATAAGGTAAAATAAGTTGCAGGCAATCTGTGACCTGAAGGGTTCCAATCAGATAGCCTAAGGCCAACTCTAATCAGGTATATAAACAATATGTAAAGACTATACTGTATGAAAGAATCAAGTTCAAGAATGTTTAGATTATAAATATATTTATAAGAGGAAATTTTCATATAAATGACTGAGTAGAGAGCTTATAGCCAGCAATGACGGATGAACATGCCAATGAAATCAAAGCAAGGAGAAACATGCTTATGGCTGCTGCGCATGAATCTGTGAAAATGTTGTCACCTCCTTCCCACATTCTGTTTGTCATAGGTATGGCCGAAGAAGCTGATGACAGTAGCAAGTATGCCAATATCTGCAAATAAACATTTACTTCAGATTTCAGTTTAGTACCACAGAATCAATAGGCCACACATTTTCCTGCACTATACTTGTCAAAATCAATCTGCAATGTACTATATCTTGTAAGCCAATCCAAAATACATAAATATTTTGAAAAATTATAACTTTATCTGTTCATCAACATCATAGTCGTCCGTCCAAAAAACTACATTCCTCCAAACCTTAAATCAATCAATCAATTCATAATACTAATACTAGTTCAATCAAACAATACAACTAAGAATTTAACATGCAAAGAATTTTGCAATATGTAACATGCAAAACTGAAAGTGACATACAAATCGCAAGAAATCAACAAATTAACACATAATTTCTCCAGTTTTAACAAAAACTCAACATATAATAATAAAATTGATACTTGAAACTTTCGATTTGGGTGATTACTCAACAGATAATCGAGCAGAAGAGAAAATCCAGCAATTCATATCAATTGTAAGCAATTCGAGCTGAAGAAAATAGAGCAGTAATGAGTAATCGAGTAATAACATTCGAGCAATCAATTGAAGGCGATTACATTTGAAAACACTAAATAAACAAGCCAATAGCACAATTTTAGCAATGGTAAAACCCTAGATTAACTATACTAACACAAATAATTAGCGAAATTGATATTCATTGATTAAAAAACTTCATTGATTAAAAAACATTACCTCAGAAGTTGTTTCAATGGAGGAGAAAGCTCAGAACTGCTACAATATAACGCAAAGCTAAATAACCCAAAAACCCTAACCTTGAATTTCTGATTTTTGGTTCGAAATTGATTCGAATTTGTTGTTGTTGAAGACGCACACACATCGAATTGATTCAAAATAGACGCACCCAGAAACCCTAACCTCCAATATTGTAGAAAGAGAGAAGGGGAAGGAGATCGAAAGAGAGAAGAAAGGAAAGGGAAAGTGGCGGTTATGGAGATCGAAGGAGAGAGAAGGAGTTTGAGGAAAGTGCTGAGAGAAAGCTCAGAAGCCCCTTTAATGGAGAAATTCGAGTACTCTTCAATGGAGGAGAGAGAGAGGGGCAAATCAGATGAGAGGAGGAAAGATCAAGGAAATGAAAGCAAGAGAAAGAAAGAGTATATCCGGGTTTTTTTTTATTTTACAATAGATTTCGCACCGGTTCAAACCAAACCGGTGCGATTAACTCATTTTTCGCACCGGTTTGGTTAGAACCAGTGCGAAATCCCTTTCTCCCTCTTTTTTCTCTCTCTCTTAATAAATCTTTTTCGCACCGATTTTCAAGAACCGATGCGAAAAGTGTGGTGCCTATTTCACTTTTTCTACTAGTGTACGCAGGGTAATAGGTTGAGCATTTGCATTGTCATTTTGACTTTGCACATTGTCGGTTTGACTCTGACTAATGTCAGCAGCTGCTTCTAAAGCACTTTGACTGTCAGTTTTGTCAGGTTGACTTTGTTGCTCACCTTGTCGAACTTCATCAAGTTCGATTTTCCTCCCACTTGTTGTTTCGGGGTTTTCTGATGTCCTGCGGGAGAGTTACAATTCCGAGACTGGAACCGGACGCCTGTACCTGCAAAATAACGGAGACTCCTGAGAGCTCCGCCTCCAACGGTCAAGTTAGTACCTGATTAAGGAGTAATCAATACAGAAATTAAAGTAATGAGATCTCTCTAGGTGAGAGTGCTTAGTGTTGGTAATCTGCGTCGTTAGCGAGATTAGCCGGTTGTTAATAACTCTGTTCTTCTCTGCTTGATTTCTTGATTATTCGATCCCGTGATTAATGAGGATTAATCGAGTATTTATAGCCTTGAGAAGCGTGCAACTCTCTAGGTTTAAGGTAAACCTAGGGCTGATCGGGCCTCTAGACTGAATTGGGCCTTGATGGCCGGTTTTCCCATTTGGCATGGGTGGACACGTGGCGTGTCTAAATTGGTCCGTAGAGGACGTATCTGTGATTGACACGTGGCAGGCTCCTGTTGGCCTTCGTGAAGGACACGTGGCGGAACCTGGTTGGTCCACTTGTCAGACGGTGATTGGTGGATAAAAATCCCCTAATCATTTGCCCCTCACAGGTGGCCCGTGACTGGTCACGTGTCGCCTGTGGCAGGTGTCGCACGGTGACAGGCGACGGCCCGCTACAGGTGTCACCTTACAAACGGCCGAGAGATTTTCCCGCCCAAATTTTGAATTTGGAAGCGACCCTTCGCCTTCTCACTTCACCTATATAAGGAAGTGCTGACTTCGGTCATTTTCACATTTGAGAACTTTGCGAGAACATTCGGACCCCTGAACTTGCTCTGACATTTCGGACTTTTTCTGCATACCGCCTGTTCTGACAAGCCGACTGACCCGAACTTCCAGGACTTCATCAACCGTCACTCGTTCAGGTAACTCAGTTCTCTTACCCTTAATTTTATTTTTATTTTTTGAAATGGCACCATGGAAGCACACGACACGCCCTAAGTTAGTGATCAGCCGGTCACCGGGGACGGCTGAATCTAGGACTAGGAGTGCCGCCTGCCCTTTTCTGGACCCATCTTTGCCCTTTATACAAAGTCCGACTGTATCTGTGTCTATGCAGAACGTGATGGCCAGAACAAAAAAGACTGCTATGATATCAAACTCAGACGGCTCCTCCCAAAGGGTGCTCCTTAGTGAAACATCTGACCAGGCGCCAGATGTAGAACGAGGCGACTGTCAAGCCGACAGTTCTGAGAGAGGGGCCAAGGTGTTCCCTTCCCATCTTACCGTTGACATGTCTAATTTTCCTTCTGCTCCTTCTAAGGGAGAGGAGGCGGGCCCCTCTAGGAAAGGGGAGGAGTCGTCCTCCTCGGACTCGTCAGAGGACGAGTCTGAGTCCAGCTCTTCTGGCCACAGTTCTCCTGGCTCAGAAGAAAAACATAGCCGCCTACAAGAGGCGAGACGTTCTCATGCAGTTGAGAAGGGGGACAATTGGGCGGAGCCGTCCGCCTCTTACAGAGAGGAAAACGCCCCCTACTACTGCAGGGTACCCCGGGGCCGGATCGCAACCATGCAAGACAACGTGGCGAGCTTTATTGCTAACCACAAAATGGGCCCGGAATTTTTACTGTTTGTGCCGGATCCAGAAGATACTGTCGTCTGGCCGGCTGGTACCAGCTATGGTGACGGCTGCTTTGGCTGCTATGTGGCAGCCATCAAAGCTGGACTGCGCTTCCCATTACATCCGGCTGTTCAGCGGATTTTAGATGGGTATGATCTGGGGTTATGGCAGTTAGCCCCCAACTCTTGGGTAAACGTACTCGGCTATGTGGCCGGGTGCGAACTGAACGGGGTGGAGCCAAGCTTTGAGGCTTTCGCCCACATGAACTATCTCAGCCGGACCCCTAAGTCGGGAGGTACCGGCTGGTATCAATTAACAAGCCATAGGGGTTACCTCATGACGAGAGGTAAGGCAAACAAATGGAAGGATTGGCGGAACACCTTCCTTATTATCGAGAGTTCAGACACGGAGCTGAACAAACGCTTTAACAAGTGGAATAGGGATCCGCCTCTTCTCGCAGGCGGCCGCAGCATGCCGCCTGTTCCCCCAAAGGCTAAAAAAGAGATCCTAGACAAAGGACTCTTCAAAGTAGAGACTAGGGTGAACTCTACTTCAGGGGTACGAGAGCAAGTACCCCTAAACTGCGTCCCGAGCTTCAAGTGGCTCTATGACGAGTACTTTTTGGCCGCCTGTGGCCTCGGCAGTCGGTGCTCTAGAGGTAGCCGGCCTGACAAATACTGTTTTTTCACGCCTTGTTTACTTGGGATTTTTACTAACTTTACTGCTTATTTCTTGCAGCTGACGCCATGAGTAAAATAACAGCATCTAAGACTGCGGCGGCCATGCTGCGGGTCTCGCTAATGAAGCAGTCGTATGCCGACTCCCCCAACAAGGAGGCACCCTTGGTAAGCTTTGAAAACTCTTCCCCTTTTAGTTGTCTTATGCATATACTAACTCTTTTTGTTTTCAGTCTGGCACTCCAAGGGCTTCTTCCTCGCAACAGCCGGACCCCAAGGCCCGGAGGACGACTGTTGCAAGCTCTCCTGGGTCTTCCAGGAAAACAGTGGCGGTTGAGAAGCAGCCGGCCACTTCTTCAAAAACCCAGGCGGGGCCGCCTAGATGTATGGACACTTACTTGTAAAACTTACCCTTGCTTCCTTCTTGATTAGGTCTAACTTGTTTTATCCTTTCACTTAATGCAGCCGGCCCCCAGGGACTTGACTTGGTTGAGGTAGCCAAGTCTATGGTTAAAGTAGTTCCTCCATCTGACAGGGAGGCGGTCAGGGGTGCCGGCACCCTTGACCTTGATGGAATTTCAGGGGTCCTTGCTGAGGTATGCTTAGTATATTTTTGAGCTTTTGAGTTCCAGGACGCCTGTTGACTTTTTTGATTGGAAACTGACGCCTGTTTTTCTTTGTACTTAGGCCCTGCTCCGAGTCAACAGCCTTCGCAAGCCGATTGATCGGAAAAACAAAGAGGTAAAGGCCGCAAAGGCTATGGCCGCCTCCAGCTGTGATAAGGCAATGTTTCAAATTGCCCAAAATGAAGTACTGACCATTGATCTTCTTTATTATCAGGCGCAGGCTACCGCCGCTGTTCGGGCTCAGTTAGAGGCGGCCCAAAAGAAGGTTGACGAGCTGGAGGGGACCGTCACCAACCTTAAGGCCGAGCTTAAACCTCTTCGCCAAAAAATGCACTCTTACGAAGCCATGGAGAAATCTTTGGCCAACGTAAAAGAACGCCTGGTGAACCAAGAGAAGAGTCTTACCCAAGAGCTCTCGGATAAGGCCGAGCAAGAGAAACAAGAGCTCGTCCGGGAGATGGTGGAAGACTCCGCTCAAATCCAGCGCATGACCTGGGAACGACTGTTCCCCAGTGCCGACTTTGCCTCATGGGAAAGAACGTACCGCCAGTGTTCGGAAATATATAATCAACAGATCCTGGAGGCTGCTGAAGAAGAGGCGTTGGACGGTGCGTTGGAGGAGGAAGAGCCGGTTGTGGCGCTTGTGCCACTTGGGGGTAAGGCATCAAAAGAGGGTGCAGCTAAGGCCGAGTCCAGCAAGAAGAGTGCTGACCAGGCGGCAGCTGCTGATACTGAACTGCCCCCTTCTTAAGCTTTAAGTATTTTTTTCCTTTTCACGGCCTGCGTGCCGTTTGCTTTGTAATTACCCGGCCAGGGGGCCGGGGTTTTGAATATTCTGCTGGTCTTTAATGGCCGGCTCATTTTTAATCAAATTTTTGTTTTGGTTCAAATTTGTCTAAGTATTTTTAATTTGTTCACTAGACCGACTGTTGTGTATGGCCGAACGTTAAGACAGGTACAAATAGTAAGTATGCCGCCTATGCCCCTGACGACTGGTTGTCTGTTTCCAGGATAGATGATCAATCGGCCATTTAATCAATCGGTATTCGAACTCTTTATTCAATTTGTCTGACCAAGTAAATAGAATTACCTAGTCGCCAAGGAATTAAGTAGGAAAACAAGCGGCGGGTACCGGTTGTTTCCCTTTATTGCCAATGTTGGCTTTTAACTCGTAATTTGTTAACCTAGCAAGAGTATTGGTTGAGAGCCTTTGTTTATTAGAAACAAGTGGACGACTCATACCTTTTAGGCTCCATACTAAGTTTGAGTGACTATTAACTTAGGAGTTACTTAGTCTTTGTCGCAATTTAGATTGAGTAGTAGAGATACCAGACGGCGTAGGCCGGCTAGACCCCTTGATTCGCCAATGTTTGTTGGCTATTAACTCAATAGGTTACTTAGGACAAATAGGGGTTCGAGTGCCCTTGTTTGTTTAAAACAGGCGGACGACTCAAACTTTTAGATTCCATACCAAATTTGAAGGAGTGACTATGAGTTAACGTTGGAGTTACTCAGTCGCC